AAAAGACACTATTAAAAGAATAAAAAGACAAGATCAAAATATAATGTTTGGAAATCATATATCTGAAAAAGAACTTGTTTCCAGAAAATACAAAGAACTCTCAAAAGTCAATAATTATAAGTTGCTAATGAAAATAAATGAGCAAAAATTTGAGTATTTATCAGCAAAGAAGATATTTGAATAGCAGACAAGCACATGAAAGATACTCGACATCATTAGTCATTATTTCCAACCTAGGAGAATTTTATTCCTAGCTAAACTACCAATGAAGTATGAAGGTAAAATCAGGGCATCGTCAGATATGTAAAATCTTACAGCATTTTCCTCCAAATCACCTTTCTCAGAAAGCTACTGAAGTACACATGCCAACTAAAAATGAATGAAAGAATAAAACAAGAGCAAGATGTGTTTGACATGGGAAAGGAGTAAGAAACCAGCATGAAGGGAACTGTCAGAGAAACAGCTATGTAGAGAGCTGTCCAGACTGGATTGCAGTATGACAGTTCCAGGAGAGATGTCACCAAGGATAAAAACACAACCAAGAGATCAGATGAGTTTGGCTGTACTGAGTCAAATTGTACAGTTCTGTCAAAAAGTTTCAGGTCAGATGAGTTATTGGCACATATCACTTTACAAAGGAAAAAGACAATCATTAGCTCTGAGGAAAACAAAAATGTACAACTTACAAAATACAGTTATAATATATGATTCATCTGTGATCTATACTACATAGTGTGGAATTTTACATTCCCACAACTCACTGATGCCAAGCAGGCGCTAAGTAAACTTGTACTCATTATATCAGGTTTCTGACCTATAGAAAGTAGTGAAAAGGTGGCAGCAGGGGATTCTGAGAAATGCAACTGTTTAACCATGTCTCAGACACTGAAATCAGACCTCCTCAAGGTCACATGGAAATCTAATGAGAAATGTTCCAAAGTCACAACTTTCATGTGATCTATTTCACCATCAAAATCTGTCTGCCTTGCTTCTAAGGTAAAACTGCACTTTGTTTTTGTAGCTACTTTCCCCAATGATGGTAATAATTCTAGGCAATGAAAGAATCTCTGCTTCATTAAATCAAAACCAGTGCAAAGCTTGATGGTAGTGGGAAAAAGATTTAAATGTGTGTAGGATGCATATGTACATAGAGGGTGGGTATTTTAAAGAAACTTTCAATTTTCATTACAAGGAAGTTGTTGGGTAACAGGTAAAACAGAAAATCAAGAAATACTAGGTTTTTCTAAATCTAAAGATATGTCTTGGGGGCCTCAGTTCCATAGCTTTGAGCCTTTTATAAGGATATGCCCCCAAATCTGTCTCTTAGAAAGTAGAGTCTCTGTAGTTCTCTAGACTAGAAAGTAGTAATACACTATTTGACTTTTGAGTAAATAAGAGGAGAGGAAGGTAGAGGAGATTATAGTAGTAGCAGCTTTGATATCTATTCTATTCATACATTCATTCCATACACAGAAAAAAGAACTTTGAGGAACAGGTTTGATCCTATAATCTTCAACACTCTTGGTAGCCAGCACCCTTGTTCAGGGGGCTGCATTCAATCTTTAAAAAGCGAAATTTAGGATCACAAGATGACTTAACCACTAGGGGGAGTTTAAATAGCTGTTACATGTAACGGAAAAGACAGGCCACCTGAAAGGCAGCTTTTTTCCCACTTGAAGCCATGGCTATTAACTCTTTGAAAAAATTTGTTACAGAAATATAAAAAATTAGATTTTAAATGATGGTAACATGTTAGTGTAGGCTTTTGTTTCTTTTCAATACTGGAAAGTGTTTATTTTCAGGTGGTTAATATACTCCTATTGCATAATGGTTTTCCTAACTCTGTATCAGGTGGTAGAACCCCAGCTTAACATTTATATGATATCGGTAGGTTTGCCCCTCAATTATGTAGTAGCTGACACAGCCCCATAGGTACTTATTAAGGATTCAGGCTTGCAAGTCAGACAATCCATATTTTAACCTTGCTCTGCTACTTTGTGCTGGGTGAACACAGACTATGAGATGAACTGCTCTAATTAACAGAAGACTCAAGGTTCCTCATCTGTAAAACGTGGGTGCAGAGTTTTTCAGGAGTATTAGATAATGCATGCAAGACATCTTGGTGCATTACTGGGTCTAAAATGTGATTGTTTTTCTAGTGGACAGACAATGCGATAAAGCCACCGCCTGAATGAGAATTTCTTAATTCCTTTTCCCACGTTCACATTACCATCAAGGTATTCACACTGGCTTCCTAGGCCCCATCCACCTTTCAGAAAGAATACTTCCAAAGGTCACAGAGGGGACCTGACTTTACTGTGAACTTTTTCTTTACAATTCTGTATCTCCTTAGGACATTCAGAGTTATACAACTACAACCATCATCTCCCAAACAAAACCAGTACCTGTTAGCAGTCATTCTTCAACCCCCTCTTTTCCCAGCTCCCAGCAACTACTAACCTACTTTTCTGTCTCCAGGGATTTGCCTATTCTGGGCATTTCATATAAGTGGAATCACACCATATGGGGTCTTTTGTTTTGGGGTTATTTCACATAGCATAACATTCTCAAGGTTCATACACATTGTAGCATGGATCAGGATTTCCTTTTTATGAGTGAATAATATTCCACTGTATAACTATAGCACATTTTGTTTACCCATTCATCCATTGATAGACACTTGGACCATTTCCTCTTTTTAGGTATTACAAGAAAGTGCTGCTATGAGCATTATGTACAAATTTTTGTGTGAACCTGTTTTCATTTTTTGGGGGTATACATTTAAGAGTGAATTTGCTGGGTCATAATGTAACTCTATGTTTACCTTTCTGAGGAACTGCCAAACTATTTTCCAAAGCAGCTGCAACATTTTACATTCCTACCAGCATTGTATGAAGGTTCCAATTTGTCCACATCATCACCAACATTTGTTATTCTCATTTTGATAATAGCCATCCTAATTGCTATGAAGTGGTATTGCACTACAGTTCTGTTTGTATTTTACTAACGACTAATGATGTTAAGCATCTCCCTTTGAGTTTATTGGCCATTTGTGTATCTTTTTGGAGAAATGCCTATTTCTCTACCCATATTTTAATTGGGTTGTCTTTTTCTTGTTGAGGCATGAGTTCTTTATGTATCCTGGATGCAAATTCATCAGATATATAATCTGAAAATATTTTTTCCCACTCTATAGGCTCCCTTTTCACTTCCTTGATGGTGTTCTTTTAAGCACAAGCTTTTAAAATTTTAATAAAACCTGATTTACCTATTTTTCTTCTCATCACCTGTCCTTTTGGTATCATATCCAGGAAATCATTGCCTAGTCTAAAGTCATGAAGATTTACCCCTATGCTTTTTTCTAAGAGTTTTATAGTTTCAGCTCTGTGTTTAGGCCTATGATCCATTTTGAGGTGATTTTTGTAGATGATATGAGGTAGGCGTCCAACCTCGGGGTTAATTATTTTGCATGTGGAGAAAACCAACTATTAAAAGAGTTTTCACTGAAGTGTGATGATATGCCATGCATATACAAAAAAGATATTTAGTCATTCATTCAACAGTATCTGTAGCAAGAATAATATTTTGAGGTTTCTGATCATTTTTCTTCCTCTATGTTTCTCTTTCCTTCTCAACATTAAAGCAGGTGGCAGGCTCTCAGCTTCTGAATCTAGGAGAGCTTTTGTTTATAGCTTTTGTTTTCCTAAACACCTAAATTCTGGGATCACAGATTCCTACGGGAATTGACCAATTACATCGTCTAGAAAAACAAGAAGGAACTGTTTTTTCCCTCCTCTAGAGAAGATAGGGAGACAAAGAGGAGGAGGATATGGAGAAAGGGGATCCACTCGTATTTTCCCAGACATACTCTGAAAAGCATGGCTTTAGATACATCTGTATCATTATGCATCCTCAGCCCACATTCTCAAGCCAACTATGACTTGAGGCAGCTAAGAATCACTAAACCATAATGGCTTATAAGGACAGGAACAATATGGCAACAACTGGCCAAATGACAGATGGGATCACCCCATATGCACACACTGTCCTGAATAACCATGTCCTGCACGATCTCGACACACTCTGGAACTGTGTCACATCTGAAGAATAAAGGGGCCGCGATGAAATCCAGGAAGCACTGAGGGTACATTTTTTTCCCCCAACAGCAAGACAAACAGGCAACTCAGCATCAGAAATGAAGCTTTTAGGGAGCTATACTTCCTGTACCCTTGATTCAATGGAGTAACATTCAGACCCACCCCACAAATATTGAGAACCCAATAGGTAGTGGGTGTTCTGCTAGTCTAAGCTGGGGGAATATAAAAGTCAATGAAGACATGGTTAGCTGAGGTAGTTACAGTCTGGTAAGAGCAAACATGAATAACTGTAGTTACCAGTTATTATACCACCTATGGGCACCCATTGTGCAACACTGTGTAAATGGACTGCATTCAGTGGAATCTTACTCATAAGAGGTCTTTGGGTTCAGAAGAAACAAAGGACTTGGCTAAGGATGCATGGTAGTAATTGGTGTGACTTGGATATGGAGAGAGGTACACTTAACTCCAAGCTCCTATCCCTAATAAAGTTATCCCACAGAGAGGCCAATCTGAGTGCTTTCCTTTAGGAGTGCTGTCCTTTGATAACCCATCACCTACTGCATGTATACTCCAACTCATGTTTTCTTAGAGTTGGGATGGTATTAAGTCAAACCAACCTTCTCTAACTTAATGTTTATTGTACCCATTGAAAGATGACCTACCAAGGCCTGAGTGCAGACAGAAGATATCGGCCAAACTGGATCCCATGATCATAGGACCCGTACTTGTCAAAGTATGTCAATTAGCTCCTCTGAACAATCTGAATTTCCCTTACCATTCACACCATCTATATGTGCAGCAAAGAAATGATATAACTGGTCTTAGGGGGGAAATCCCAACTTTTCTATCTATGTACAAAAGGACAAATTTAGGTGTAAGCAAAATGGAAATTTTCCTTACCAGGAAAGATCTTATAGGGCTGTTCTGATTTGAGATGCAGGCACTTAACACAATGTCTAAGCAACGATTTTAAATTCTTGTCTGAAGCTTCCTAGAAACAATAAAAGGAAAACAAGATGATTCTGGCAATGCAATGTTAATAGATTTTCCTTAAGTATTAATCTACCAAACAAATGTTGAGAATGAAAGAAGCAGGCATATAAATACTGGGAGAGCCATGATTGATACATTTTCTGTTGCTGCCCCTGCTATCTGACCCTGGGCAAACAACTAAACCGAATCTCCAATCTCAAAGAGAAGCACACTGTGCCAGAGAGAAGCAGAAAACATAGAGGAATCTAAATTATAAGGGACTAAGGTCTCTTCACTTACGTCCTTCACTGAAGAATAAGTCTCTCCCCATTTAGGATTATAAAAACTTTCATTTTTCAAATATAGGATTATATTTAACTTTCATTTTCTCATTTACAAATAGAACTTCAGAACTGAAAGACCCTTAGAAGACATTTGATCCAATGTCCCATTTTATACATGGGAACACGTGAGATTCCAAGAGTTCAAGTCACTTGTCCAATGTCACATGCTCATTAGAACAAATAAAAGTATTTCAACTATATGGGAAGTCTGTTTGTAAAATCAAAGTATTAGATTAGATAGTTTAGAAAAATCCTTCCCTCTCTGAAGGGGCTATCATTCTGTGAATACGAACATCGGTACTTTTGTTCATTTTTAGGAACCCACTTTCTTTGCAGTATGATAAAGAGGCATGTATGGTAGTTACAAGGATGGGCTCTCAAGGCAGACTTTCTGCCTTTCAATTCCACCCCTCACATTTACTTGTGGTGAAAGCCTGCATGAATTAACCTCTCTGTCTCTTCTGCAAAATGGACATTGTACAGCACCTACTGCATATGGACCTTACCATGATTAAATGAAATAACACATGTCAAGTATTCATGGCACAGAGCAAGTGCTCAGTAAACACAGGAGGCTGTTAACATCACCATACAGGACTTGGTGTCTTGGTGTGGGCTCTAAGAAGGCAACCCTTGCTTTGGACGGAAAATGCTAAGATCCACATCAAGTGAGGATCTCATTCTCTACGGCCACGTGTCTGGCTTTAACAAGATAAAGAAAAAAGCTGCTTCCCATCCTCCCTTCCTGAGAATGCAGTCAATGACGTGTGTTTGCTATAAGGTAGGACTTTCAGGAAGTTCTTCAGAGAGGGTCTACTTGGACAACAGGAACACCTTTGCTCTTCCCTGAACATATTCCTTAATTCTGGCTTTAGGACGCTAGGCATTTGGGATACAGTAGTACAAAAACCCAAACACGGTCCCTTTCCTTTTCTTTCGACAGAAGCAATCTCTGGGGGAGGATCAGCAGCCTATATCGTGAGGGAAGGGCTAAAGACTTTCAGAGGTTCAGTCCTTGAGCCAATTATTCAATGCCAGCAGACGCTGACCTCCAGACTTCTCATTTCATGAGGAAAATAAACTCACACATTTTTAAGCTACGACTACCAAAATGCAATTCCTAACCAAAATACCCTTCAAAATCTACTTCTCTTCTCTGTCAACAATTACTTTCAGACATGCCTGGTCAGCTATTTGCCTTGGCCACTTAAGGGTCCCCTAGGCCAGGTTGTCATTAGAGGTCACTGAAGTTTTTGCAAAATGTTCAAACTGCCTTCAAGGTCCTTGCTACAAGTGCAGTCTCTGGACCAGCAACCTTACTGTCACCTAGAAACTTGTTAGAAATACAGGATCCTCTGCTCCATCCCAGACCTACTGAATCAGAATCTGCATTTCTAACAGGATCTCCCCTTATTTCTGGGCACATTAAACGGAGGCTCTGGGCTAGACTTCCAGGCTCTGCCCTGCCACTCCTATTAACACTACTGCCAGAATAATCTTCCTGAAGCATAGTTCTTAGTATGTCACTCTTCTCAAACACCTTCAGGGGTACTTCACTGCCTACAGACTACATGCTTAGCCTGATGATCAAGGCCTTCCATTATCCTGTTGTCCTGGAAATGCCCATCATAGTGCCTGCTGTGCAAAATGAGTGTACCTGAGAAACAACATATTCCTTAACTCTGGCTTTACTGTGCTAGGCATTAGGATACAGTGGTACAAAACCCTTGCCTTTATAGTGCTTAAGGACTACTTGAAAGGACAGGATTTTGCAAATAAATAAAAATACATAATGATAAAGTATAAGTGCTCTGAAGGAAACGAATGGGCAACAACACAGGGTAAGAAAGACTGGTCAGAAGGATAGCTCTAAAGTTGGGGAGCGTGCTGCAGTGTGGGACCGGGCAGAGAGAATTTGGTGTGTTAGGATCAGAAAAGGGCTGCCTTTCCAGGCTTCCCCAGGAAACAGATACCCTGGGAAGCAGGCGTCATGGGGTCCACCTTCCAAGTTACCTAAGAGGAAGTGTTCAATTTCTTTTCCCTGACATTTGCCCACCGGGACCACGGGTGAGGCTGAGTGCAGCACATGCTGCACAGTCGCTGTTGAGTCCAGCCCTGGAAATCAGACCTGGGGAAATTCGAATCCCAGCTCCCCCACTGACCGGCTCTCAACTCCCTTGACCTCCATCGAAGCCTCTGCTTCCTCTGGTACAAAGTGGGGCTCGGAGCAGAACCAACTTTGTGGTTACTGTGAACGTTGAGGGGTGTTTGCACAGCTCCCCGGAACGCTGCCCCCTCCCACCAGCGCTCACTTGAACATCAGCGGTCACAGGACCACAATGATGATGATGACTCTTGTAAACTCCTATTAGCTGGCGGGCAGAAGCCTCATCCCGGATAGTCCTGTCCCCCCGAGGCCTCACGACCCGCCAGCCCCAGCAACGCCCCCCCCCCCGCGCACGGCCACCGGGACCCCAGCGCGGGCGCCGCCGCCGGACCCCCGTTACCTGGGGCCGAACGCGACTTGCCGCCACCTTGCGTGCTGGGCCCTGCCTCCCTCCCGGCCGCCTCCCGGCCCCGCAGCTGCCGCGGCGGCGCCCAGCCCAGCCCGGCCCCGGCGGCGCGGGAAGCCTCGGCGGGGCTGGCGGCGGCGGCGGCCGCGCTGCGCGCTCCGGCGGAGGGGAGGGGGCTCCGCGGCGGCGGCGGCGGCGGCGGCGGGCCCGGCGGGGGGCAGAGCCAAGAGGCGCGGCGGCGGCAGCGGAGGCGGAGGAGGAGAAGGCGGAGGATGCGGGCGGCTGCGGGCGGCGGCGCGGCCCTGTCCGCAGTGAAGCCCGCGGCGCCCAAGGTGCAGGGAGTGGCCGCCGCCTCCCGCGCGCATCATTCCTGAGATGGCGGCGGCGGCGCGGCGGCTCGCGGGCCCGAGGAGGGGCCGGCCGGGCGCGGGCTGAGCGCCGCCGGCGGGAGCTCGCCCGGGGCCCGCGCGGCGGCGGAGCCCGGGGCCGGGGCCCGCGGAGCGGCGAGGCCGGGAGCGGCCCGGGGCGCAGCGCTCGGCCAGGGGAGGCCGCGATGGCGAACGCCAGCGAGCCGGGCGGCGGCGGCGGCGAGGCGGCCGCGCTGGGCCTCAAGCTGGCCACGCTCAGCCTGCTGCTGTGCGTGAGCCTGGCGGGCAACGTGCTGTTCGCGCTGCTCATCGTGCGGGAGCGCAGCCTGCACCGCGCCCCGTACTACCTGCTGCTCGACCTGTGCCTGGCCGACGGGCTGCGCGCGCTCGCCTGCCTCCCGGCCGTCATGCTGGCGGCGCGGCGGGCGGCGGCCGCGGCGGGGGCGCCGCCGGGCGCGCTGGGCTGCAAGCTGCTCGCCTTCCTGGCCGCGCTCTTCTGCTTCCACGCCGCCTTCCTGCTGCTCGGCGTGGGCGTCACCCGCTACCTGGCCATCGCGCACCACCGCTTCTACGCCGAGCGCCTGGCCGGCTGGCCGTGCGCCGCCATGCTGGTGTGCGCCGCCTGGGCGCTGGCGCTGGCCGCGGCCTTCCCGCCCGTGCTGGACGGCGGCGGCGGCGACGACGAGGACGCGCCGTGCGCCCTGGAGCAGAGGCCCGACGGCGCCCCCGGCGCGCTCGGCTTCCTGCTGCTGCTGGCCGTGGTGGTGGGCGCCACGCACCTCGTCTACCTCCGCCTGCTCTTCTTCATCCACGACCGCCGCAAGATGCGGCCCGCGCGCCTCGTGCCCGCCGTCAGCCACGACTGGACCTTCCACGGCCCCGGCGCCACCGGCCAGGCGGCCGCCAACTGGACCGCGGGCTTCGGCCGCGGGCCCACGCCGCCCGCGCTCGTGGGCATCCGGCCGGCGGGGCCGGGCCGCGGCGCGCGCCGCCTCCTCGTGCTCGAGGAGTTCAAGACGGAGAAGAGGCTGTGCAAGATGTTCTACGCCGTCACGCTGCTCTTCCTGCTCCTCTGGGGGCCCTACGTCGTGGCCAGTTACCTGCGGGTCTTGGTGCGGCCCGGCGCCGTCCCCCAGGCCTACCTGACGGCCTCCGTGTGGCTCACCTTCGCGCAGGCCGGCATCAACCCCGTCGTGTGCTTCCTCTTCAACAGGGAGCTGCGGGACTGCTTCCGGGCCCAGTTCCCCTGCTGCCAGAGCCCCCAGAGCACCCCGGCCACCCTCCCCTGCGACTTGAAAGGCATTGGTCTCTGAGGGCCTCTCCCGCCACCTGCACCCCAACCCGGCCTTTCCCGTTGGCTTGGACTGTGACGTCGTTTCTCCCTCTTCTGCCCCCCTTTTTAATTTTTAAGCTGCCTTCAAGATGACTCTGAGAGTGGATGAGCACCTGGATTGTACAGGCTCCCTTTCCCGGGCCAGGGTGGGTTTCGATATTCCAGCCCCACCCCAGCTCCGCGCCTTCATCCTGAATCTATTTCCATCCTGACAGTAGGCCCTGGCGTCTCTGTACTGGTACTGACGTCTTTTACTCCATGTGTTACTACTTTTTCTTTTTTTAAAAAAAAAGGCTAAACTAATTTTCTTCACACGACGTTTCCTAAAGACCATGGCCAATTTTCTACAGAAGCTATTTTTGACAACCTCAAGTGGCATTACCTTTTGCAGTGACGTAGAGGAACGGAGGGGACTTCACAAGTCAGATTTCTTGAGGGTCTTCTGTCGGAAGCAGGAGAAGAGGGGACATCAAGTTCCCTCTGAATTGCCAGCCGTGGGGTCAGCTGTGCTGCTCTGGTTCTTTGACCGTGTTGAGAACTTTGGTCAGTATTAATATTGAATTTCATGAGCAGAAATGGGAGCGAGTAGCAAGGCAGCGGTTTTTTCAAGCAGTAACAAGGAATAAGTAAGATTTGTTTCCTACCATTACACTACTAGAAAATAACACTGACAGCCAACAGCTGTTCTCTGTGTTATACCGAGATCTTGAGTGGAAACATTTCTGTAAAATTGTAACTTTTAAGAGTAAAAAGTGTTTTGGTTAGTGATGGTGTGGACAAAATACAGTATTGCATGTTTTTAAATGTATACTGATTGTGGTTCTTGGACTGGGAGGGCTCTGAAAAGCAGAGTAGTAAAGAAAAAAATTGTTTAGGTATTTTTTTTTTGCCAAAAAAATTAAAATAATTTTATGGAAACAGCTTGTGTTTTGAGAAGCCCAGTTTTACTCTGTCTTAGGAAACTAATTTCTACTTTGAAAATTGTCCTTTTTTTCATGGTGTAAATGAATGGAATATAATGATACTCTACTTGGAAGCATTTCCTTAAAATGTTCATTAGGTTAAGCTGTGCCATTCTACTGATGGTTACTTTAAACTGATATGAGAACGATAATTTTAAATAATATTTCTTCATTAGACACATTGTATTCTCACATGGAAAGACTAAATTCTGCAAGTACTGTACAATATTTTTTGCTTATAATGCTACGTTTCTATTAAGGTACCTTCTGTTTTGAAGATTTATATCTGTATTTCTCTTTGCATTATACAAATATACCAGTATTTTCATTCTGGAGTGATTTTTTTTGTTGCTGTTGTTTGCGGCTGAGATGGGTGAATGTCTAAATATGGTATCATGTTCTATTACCTTTTTAGTTCATGTTGTTTAGTTGACCATCAGGATATTTAAGACATTTGGAGTCTTATTAACTTAAAATGCATAATAAAAATCTCCACATTTTCTCTTTAAAGTGAAGAAACCGTAGACATATATACTACTTTAAAACTGTTTATGAACATACAAAACATGAGGGTGAGCAAAATAATTTTGTTAAAAATATTAAAAATGGGTACAGTAAAATATATTTGCTTTAGTTGAGCTTAATATAAACTATTAAACATTCACTCCAAGAGGGATGTCATAATAAAAGGGTTTGGCCAATTTACTGTAAGTCAGGTAAATGGTCAACATTATTTTGTTTCGTCTGTAACAGTCCATCAGTCTGTGCAGACAATCTTGTATTTGGAAAACATGAGGAACTATCATTCTATTTCTACCCAGGTCATAAGACCAGGTAGACATTATCCTTGGGCCAGCCACTCATCAGAAATTTCTGCAAACCTGAAGACAGAGAGGCCCAGGAAATAAATCCTCACCTAACCCGCCACCCACACAAATGATGCAAGTTTAAGGAATAGAGGCCTGTATGATACTTGGAACATTTAGCATTTCTGGCATGGCACAGAAATGAAGCCAACGGGGCCGATTCCTGAACGTGCCAGCCTTAGGCAGCTCAACTGCACAGAGAACCTGGTGGATTTCTATGGCCTTGAGCTCATGGATGTTGATAACCCATAAGCCAGGTATTCTCACATTTTAACATTTGTGAGAACTTCTTCAAGGATTGGCAGGGCCCAGAGGTTCTCATTAGGAGAAGCTGGAGTGGGACCCAGGAAAGAGCATTCTTAACCAGTTCCCCAGATGGTTGGAGGCACCCCTCCAGGCCTTGGCCCATACGTTTACTTCAGATCCCATGTGTACAAACTAGGTTATCTGGTTCAGTTTGGTTTTGTTCTATTCTGATGACATGGGTGGTCTCTAATGAGAGTTTAGGCAAAGAGTAATGAGAAATGACAGCCAATTCTAAGGGCCAAAGAAGAACCAGGAGAGGTGAAAAAACAAAGCTGCCTTACATGGGGCGAGAAGCCTATCCCATCTCAACAGCTTTTTGGATCAGTGAATCTATTAACATGTACTTTGTTAATTATATTAATGAAAAATCATCAAGGAGAGTTTGGTTGCATTTCAGAATACTCTACTCATTGTATCAGGACAGGTACAATGTATTTGAGGAAGACTTCCGTTAAAATAGCTCATTAATTTTGTTTAGGAAGTGAATTTAGCACATCTACCCCTTACCCCCTCAGAGCTAGGTAAACAAGTTGTCACTGTACTGGAAGCAATAGAAAACAGATTTCTCAGTGTAGGGAGCCCTCCTACACTGCTGGAGGGAATGTAAGCTAGTTCAACTAGTGTGGGAAGCAGTATGGAGGTTCCTCAAAAAGCTAAAAATAGAAATACCATTTGACCCAGGAATCCCACTCCTTGAAATTTACCCAAATAATACAACTTCTCAGATTCAAAAAGACATATGCACCCCTATGTTTATCACAGCACTATTTATAATAGCCAAGATACGGGAGCAACCTAAGTGTCCATCATGGTTAAAGAAGATGTGGTACATATACACAACGGAATATTATTCAGCCACAGAAGAAAACAAATCCTACCACTTGTAACAACATGGATGGAGCTAGAGGATATTACACTAAGTGAAATAAGCCAGGTGGAGAAAGACAAGTACCAAATGATTTCCCTCATTTGTGGAGTACAACAACAAAGCAAAACTGAAGGAGCAAAACAGCAGCAGACTCACAGACTCCAAGAAGGGACTAGTGGTTACCAAAGGGAAGGGGTTAGGGAGGGTAGATGGGGAGCGAGAGAGGCATTAGGAGGCACTATAATCCGCAATCACATATAGGTGGGTCACAGGGAAGGCAGTACAGCACAGAGAAGACAAGTAGTGACTACAGCATTACTACGCTGATGGACAGTGACTGCAATGGCCAGGGGTAGGGCTGGTGGAGGGACGGGTAGAGAGGGGAGGAGTAAGGACTTGATAATACGGTTGAATGTTGAAACCACAATGTTGTTCATGTGAAACCTTCATAAGATTGTATATCAATGATACTATAATTTTTAAAAAAAGAAAATTTCTCATCTGTAAATCTTCATCTGCATGTGCAGGCATGGAATTATTTAGTCACAAATCAGTACTTTTAGGTCTTTTTATTCCATGTGTCAAATAGCTTTGCAGAAAGGCTGTATCTATTTACATTTCTACCTGACCATGTTTGTTTTTCAGAAAATGAAAATATCTCAAAAAGGAAGCATATAACAAGCCAAACACCAGAATTATAAATAATAATCTCCATATTCACTATTCAGCCTTGCCAAATCTTGGCAGTTTTGCCGTGTTGGTTTCTACTTCTCCATTTCTCTTTTCTTTCCTTTTCCTTTCTCTTTTTTGTTTTCTTTCAGTTTTCCCTCTCCTAGTCCCTCTCTCCCTCCCTTTTCTTTCTTCCTTTCCTTCTGTTTTTCCCTCTTTTTAAAACAAAACGCGACAGTTATTTCTGCCAAGTTTCTGTCTCACCATCAGCCCTCCACATTCTCGAATGCCCTGTCTCCTGTGTTTTGCAGGAAGATCACTGGGTGGGCGGGATTGTGCCCAGTCTTCAAGGTCCTACCAGAGCCTATAAGATCAGAATGCAAACTTCTTTGTCCCAGAAGGCGTTTAGTGCGTGGGTGGGCCCCTCCTCCATCCTGGCCTCATCTTCATCTGTGTTTCCTGCTCTCCCTTCTCTCATTACCATTGTATAAGCTCTGCCTGGGAAGCTCATACCTCGTCCCTACCTGGGAATCCCTCACCAAGCCCTCTATAGCACAAGGCGATATTCACATTATTTAATATCTAAGGGAGCATGTGCATTACTACCCATACAGCCATACTCCCAGGGTCCTGGTTGAACATGGGGTTGGGCCGGACCCAGACCCAAGACTTCTGGAAGGCCCAGTCACCTCTCCTCTGGGCACTGTCTACCTCCACGAATCCCAGTGCGTGCCATTGGCCCCCAGCAGCCTCTCCAGTCTCCCCTCCCCCCACTCCCCACTCAGGCCCTGTTCTCCAGCCACTGCACATCACCGGCAGTGCCCTGAACAGGTAATACTGTGTCACACCAATACGCCTTTGCACATATCCCTTGTGTCCAAAGTCCTCCCTCCCTGTTTCCCTAACTCAACTGCTGTTAAGCTTTCATACTTAAGTGGTGAACTCCTAGACATAAAGGGTAAACTACCCTCTGCAGAAAGGGGAAGACTGTCCCAGCTCAGGCGCTTCAAAATTCTAGTCTCCAAACTCCATCATTAGATCTGAGTGCCATCATGGGTTCAGTAGCAGACTTGTCTTACTGGCATTCTAAGCTGTCTGTGTGCTAAGGTGGCTGGGGTTATTGAGCAGCAGATGCAAAGTAGTCTTCTCCAGTTACCTGGTGTATATGTCAGTCTGTGTGAACTGCCAAGACCACTGAACTTCACAACCCCCTTGGTGGAGGGCAAAGGATGTAGTGGGAAACTGTCTCCATCCATCTACACAATAGCCCCATTATCAGCATCTTATGCACTGTTAATTAGCTACTTCTAGAATAAACAGATGTAAAAGCAAATTTTATCTGAGTCCAAGAGGTTCCTTATTCTTTTTCTCCAACTTGGACAACTTTTGGGGTCTAACCTAGCCCATGAATAGAGCCCTCTTGCCCACATTCTTCCTTTTTGGATGTTT